ATACTCTGCCTCCTTAACTCAAACTTATTTTCCTGGGGTTGTATGGCTACCTTGCAAACCAAGGGAAAAAACATAGCTAATTTAAGGAGACATCTTTTTGATTTCAGCTTTGGAGTATAGAGCATCTCTGTGTATTTACCTATAAGGTTTATATTATGTGAAAAGTAGAGCCTTTGTGGCATCGTTGTCTGGTTTTTTTTATTTTTTGTTTTTAAAATTGTGAAAGTTAGCCTATTTTAGTGTAACAATAGAACACAATTTTTGACAATCTGAAGCTTCTTTGCCAAACTAGTAATATGGCTCATTAGAACTTGGCTGTGTTTAGAAACACATTGCATACATTGCCTTCTTCCCCCACCCCCAAATTATAGATTGTAGAACATATTGCTGTATCATGCATTATTAAACATTTTTACAGATATTTAATAACACATTAAAGTTTCAAAGTGCTGCTGGTTTTACAGACCACCTTATAGGATTTGCAGAACTAACCAGCTCCTTGTATATTTAGAAACCAATCCATGCAGGTTTTCAATCTTATTTGTTAACATAATCTTCCCAACATTATATACTCTTTCAAAGGCAAATCTGGAAGAAAATGCAGAAAAGAAACAACTCCAGATAGGAAAAATGGAAACCTCACTGAAAGCTCTGTCAACTGAGTTCCTTAAGGTTTGTTTAAAGTTAGCATTCCTTTTTTTATGATTATGGTTTGCTTTCATCTGATCATCATTTAGTATTCTGTGATATTGTTTCCAGGCCAATGAGATAATAAAGAAATTGCAAGGAGATGTAAAAACGCTAATGAGTAAGCTGAAATTGAAAAACACAGTAACAGTTCAGCAAGAAAAGCTCTTGGCTGAAAAGGAAGAAAAACTACAGAAAGAACAAAAGGATTTACAGGAACTGGAAAGTTCTCTTCGAGAAAAAGAACAAGAGGTAACTCGAGAGTCTTGTTTCTAAATAGTAAATGCTTAAACAAATACTAAGATTTCCTTTCGTCAGAAATAATATTTTCTTTTTTCCCCATAAACCCACTCTTCTCTGGAATGAAGCAAAGATTTCCTCAGTTTTAACTCATTTCTTGGTCACCTTACGTCCTTGTAAGTTTCTTGAGAAAAAATGGTTTCTTAGCAAAATGATTTACTATTATTAAGGAATTATTTTCCTATTTCCCAATCTTATTTACTGTCCTGGATTTTCCTAGTGGTATCCCATCCAGGCATTAACCACACTCGAACCTTGTTTTCCGTTTTTTAGGATCAGATAATGTTAATTAGATGCTACCAGTTGCTTTGATGTATTCTGAAGTATTTTTGTTTTATGGTCTTTAAAGTAAAAATGCCCATAGATTTATATACATTTATTTATTTAGATTTCAAAAACAACTTATATGGCGATGATTATTTAGGAAAAACGTCTTCTGACGTTAAATTTTGAAATATTGTTTTGCTACTGGGGATAAAAAATATTTCAGATAACTAATAATATGAAAACATTTCAGATATGCAAATTGCAGGAACAGTTAGAGGCTACAGTACAAAAACTGGAAGAAAGCAAACAACTTCTCAAAACAAATGAAAATGGTATGTGACTTTCTTGCATTAACTACTGTCTAATACTTTCAACAATGTATATTTTAGTATATACAATTTATTAGAAGATATAGCCTTAGTTTGGGCTAGGCCAGGGGTAGGCAACCGGTAGGCAACCTTGGCTCTTTTATGACTCGTGGACTTCATCTCCCAGAATTCCTGAGCCAGCCATGCTGGCTCAGGAATTCTGGGAGTTGGTCCACGAGTCATAAAAGAGCCAAGGTTGCCTACCCCTGCCGCTAGGCATTTTCTCTGTTATCTATTTGTTTAGGCAATAATTGTGAATGTTGGATTTAAGATAAAAGATGAATAGTTCTTTTTTAAATATTTGAAGAATTTCTGAGGGATATTGAAGAATGATTCTGAGGAATGCCAGTCTTATTTTCCCTCCTTATAAATATTCATTTGTTTTGCCTGTATTAATGCAACCTGTGCATTTATTTTGTTCCCCTTGTAATGAATAACTTACAATGATACATAGAAGTTCCAGCTTGTCACATAGGATTTATCAGTTCCTAATCGTATTCAAACTAAGATTGCAATTCTATAAATTTGTGTTTGGGAGTGAACCTCTATAACTCCGTTCTTAATATAAATGCACTGGTTTAACTTTGAAAGCGTAATCTGTCCAGCCGCATTCAGAATTTAATTTTGATTTTGTTTTAAAATTAAAAATATTTGGGATGAAAAGTGAAGTGCTTTTTTTCTCTGCAGTCATCACATGGCTGAATAAACAATTGAATGAAATTCAGCTGACAAGGAAGCAAGAAATGCTAGGGACATCTACTTCTAGCAACACTGTTTCAAGAACTGGCAGCTCTCCTCATAGTATGGTAATAGTAAAATTCTCGTGTATTCATCTTTGATACTGACCACGTTGCTGTCTTTCATGGTTTAATTTCTAAGTAAGAAGAGAAAATTCAATGGGAGTGCACACTTCGCACAAATTCTTCAGAAATGGATGGGTCGTGGGGCTTAGTTGGAATTGAGCTATTTTCCTTTGTCCTGGTAAAAATATGAGGGTTGAGATTAGCATATTTCCCCACATTTGCTTCCTTTACCATCCTGTCAATAGATGGTAAACTTCTAGATAGGGTCAGAGAGGAGAGCAAATGCTTCAGCCTGAGATTCAAGCCAAGTATTGACAGAAGTATCTTAGCTTCAAGCAAATTAAATTTAGACCTAGGCAAAATATGAACTGCAATAGATGAAGTGTAGTAAGTATGAACTTTGACTATGTTTGCTTTAAACAAAGACAACAGGTATGAGCTAATTTGTTTTGGGGTTTTTTTACAGGCTGATAATAGGATTACGACTTTAAACTCCGGACTGAGCTATCCCATCTCCCCCTTGCTAGCTTTCCAAAGCTTCCCAGAAGCAGCTGCTGTCAAAAATGCCAACCAACAGATATCGGGAACAAAGGCAAGGAATTTAAGATGTTTATTTTTTAATAAGATTCCATTACATTGTATCAAGTTATGTCATTTCCATTTTATTGATTTTTGCCCAAAACAAAATCCTTCTTCTCTTCTTCTGCTA